TATGAGAAGAAGAAGACCTCAAGAAAACAGAGAAAGGAACGCAAGAACAGAATGAAGAAAGTCAGGGGGACTGCAAAGGCCAGTGTTGGTGCTGGCAAAAAGGAGGAGTAAAGATTCTCTGGTGACTTTATCTGTGATGGTTGTGCAGATTTTTCATGAGAGGATTAATAAACTGTAAACTTTAAATAAATAAACAAACAAACAAACAAATAAATAAAGTTGGGAACCTTTTCACGTTTTCTTTGAAAGGACGCTCTCTTTGGCACATCCGAATTGCTAGCATCAGCACTCTTTTGCTCTGGGGCCATCATTATGTGAAATAAGGGTTACCTGACCACAAGCACTGAGATACCCTGACAGTCCATCTGATAAGCAAGACAGCTGCTAAGTGACTGACAGGTGGTCACGTATACAGCACGGACACTGGAAAAGGGATGAGGAATGGCTTTCCCAGGCAGCACAGAGCCGGATGGCGCCAGATTTCATCACGCTCCTCGGAACAGCGCTCAACTTAAAACTTATCCATTATTCATCTCTGGAAGTTTCCATGTAATATTTTCAGACAGAGGTTGACCGCAGGTAACAGAAACCGCCGAGAGTGAAACCGCGGATAAGGGGGGAATCGCGCATTTCGAGGAAACTCTCAGTCATTATTGTTGCAAATACCTCTTCTGTTTCTTTCTGTTTTATCTCCTTCTGGTCTTCTCATTACGTGTGTGACACCTTTTGTAGTTGTCCCATAGTCCTTAGATATTTTGTTCTGTGTTTTACGATCTTGGTTCTCTTTGCTTTTCAGTTCTGGAGGTGTCTGGGGAGATGGCCCCTGGCCCAGAGATTCTTTTCTTAGCCAGTCTACGAAGGAGCCCAGGCATTCCTCATGTCTCCTTCTACCTCCAGCATTTTGGTTTGGATCTCTCTTAGGACTTCCATCTCCCTGCTTATGTTACCCATCTGTTCTTGCACGTGTCTACTTCACCCACTAGGGCTCTTAGCATTTAATCATATCGTGGTTTCAAATTCCGTATCTGATAAGCCCAACATCTTGCCACGTCTGATACGAATTGTGATACGAATTGTGGTTTACTGTCTGTCATATGCTTGCAGTTTTCTCCAATAGTTGGACATAATGCACGAGTGCAAGGATTGCTGTAAATAGGCCTGTGGTAATGGGTGGGGTGAGCTATAGAGGAGGGGAAGTGTTCTCTAGTCCCCTGATGAGGTCTCAGTCTTTTAGTGCGTTTCTGGTCTGTGAACCTCACTAGTGTTGCTCGGTTTTCCTTTCCCTCCCTCCTGAAGTGGGACGGAGGAGCTGCAGCTGGCTGCTGTCCTCTCCCCCGCGGAAGGCTAGACCGTATGAGAGTTGGGTATTTCCCTTCCCCCAGGTCAGCTAGGCTCTGATAACACCCCAGCAAGTGGGGCTCTAGTTAACTAGTTTGCCAACATGATTCTGCATAAGAAGAAGAGAGTCAGTCTTATAACATAAACATTTGAAAGTTGGAAATGATTATTAGCCCAACTGTGAAGTAATATATCTGTGTTAGTTTTCTTTATTAAGATGTATCATGCTGAGACAGGAAAGATACAAGCAGAAAAAGAAACTAAAATATATGTAGGTCAGCGGCAGTAAGAGAACATTCATAAATCATTTCGAAGTATACGTCTATATTTTCAAGGTAGCTACACAACTTCAAGGGCAAGCATTTAACAGAAATATTTGAAAGTACACTGGGAGCCCTACTGGCGTGGCTCAGTGGTTGAGCGTTGACCTATGAACCAGGAGGTCACAGTTCAATCCCCAGTGTGGGGCGTGCAGGAGGCAGCCAATCAATGATTCTTTCTCATTACTGATGTTTCTATCTCTCACTCCCTCTCCCTTCCTCTCTGAAATCAAGCTTATTGTCAAGTCCATCATTCTGACTCTGAATCGTGGGTCCTTGCTGGGCTCTGCTAACAGCTTCCATCAGTTTAATGTCATATAGTTTAGACCAGTGATGGCGAGCCTATGACACGCGTGTCAGAGGTGACACGTGAACTCATTTTTTTGGTTGATTTTTCTTTGTTAAATGGCATTTAAATATATAAAATAAATATCAAAAATATAAGTCTTTGTTTTACTATGGTTGCAAATATCAAAAAATTTCTATATGTGACACGGCACCAGAGTTAAGTTAGGGTTTTTCAAAATGCTGACACGCCGAGCTCAAAAGGTTCACCATCACTCAACTAGGCAGAGGGAAAATGGGAAGAAACTAAAAAACAAAAAGACGTCAAGCTACTGTTCACCATATAAAACAGCATATATTCTCAAAGTAGTTACCTCAAGGAAGTAAGACTTCTGGTAGGTTTTTATTTACCTTATTTTCTTTTTGTTTATTTAAATTCTTTATTGTTGAAAGTATTACATATGTCTTCTTTTTCCCCCATTGACCTCTCCCCGCCCACTCCCACCCCCGAGCACAGGCCGTCACCCCTACTGTCTGTGTCCATTGGTTACGCTTATATGCATGCATACAAGTCCTTTGGTTAATCTCTTACCCCCCACTGATAATTTTTTTTAATACTTTCCTGGGTAAAAAACATTTTTTATAAGTATGACTCATTTACATAATCAGAAAAAAATGGCATGATCTATTTTTAAGCTATGAAAACAGGCCTGTAGTGGCTTAGGCACACAAAGTAATAGCTGCTGCACCAATGTCCTTTTGATTCGTGGCCTGGTTAACCTTTTCTTATCTTTTAGGTCTCAACTTACATGTCAGTTGCTGAGAATTCCTTTGAGGTGGGTTTGTTCTCTGTCGCACTCGATCCTGTCCCACTGTCCTTTGTGTTTAGAGCACTTATCACAGTTTGAAATTCTTTGTGTGGCTCTTAGACCAAGATCTGTCCACCCCTCTAGTGTAGGAGCCGCCAGAGGTCAGGGGTCAGGTCTTCTTGGCTCTCCGACGAATTCCCAGTTCCAGGCCCACTGCTGGACGCATGGAGGCCTCCAAGACTCCTTGGCAACTTCTTGGGTCATTTCTCTGTGCTTAGGAACTTCCCACATGTTCCTAACTTGCGCCTGGATGAGACTCTGTGCTCGCTAATATCTGGGAGTGTGTCTTGCGCCTCTCAGTGCTCAACAGGTCCCGGCTGGCTTGGTGTGTTGACAGATAACCCTGGGTTTCCCCAGGAGCATTAGCGGTTTCATTCCCACGGCTGCTGTCACCTTCTCCTGCTGCTCCGGGAGAAAGATAAACTGGGATCAAGGTCTCAATTGTCCCAAACGTTTCCGCTCTTTTGACCACCCTTCAGCTCTTTTTGACTATCCTTACAGGATCCCGGGTAAACTGCAGGTCGTTTCATGTGGCCTTCCCGCTCCTCCGTCCCTCAGCGGTGGAGTTTATTGGCCTCTCTTGTTATAAACTAAATTATGCCACCCACCACCACCCCGATTCATCTGTTAAATTCCTAAACCCTAGTACTTCAGCGTGTGACTGTGTTTGGAGCCAGGATCTTGAAAGAGGCGATGAAGTGAAAAGAATGCCATTTGAGTCCTAATCCCATCTAACCGGTGTCCTTGTAAGAAGAGGAAGAGACACCACGCTTGTACGGCACAGAGGAAAGGCCACGTGAGGGCACATCGAGAAAAGGGGCCACCTGCCAGCCAAGGAGACACCAAGCTTGATGACACCTTGACCTTGAACGTCTAACCTCCGGAACTGTGCAAAGATAAATGTCGTTGTTTAAGCCACCCAGTGCGTGGTATTTAGTCACGGCCGCCCCAGCCAACTAAGACATTTCTGTTGAGGAACTCACCTGGGCTTCCCAGGGCTGGACGGAGAGGCATCTAGACAGACAGACAGCTCAGGGGCACCACCCTCTGTTGCAATCCCTGCTACCAGTCAACCAATTGCCCCAGGAAGGGGCAACGCTCTCAGGGCCTCTTCTGAAGGCTGGTTTTCCTGCTTTTCTGGGCCACATTTCTGCTTCTCTTCGCACCTGCCCCAGAAGTCAGGCCAGCTTGTCTCTTTCTCTTTTACTCAAGAGTTTCAATGCTAGAACCATAGAAAGTTCACTGATACCGGCATCCCGGTCCCCCCTTCACTGTTTTTCTCCAGGAGGCCTAGCCGGATGAGCCCCCCCCCCCCCCCCCCCCCCCCCCCCCCCCCCCCACCATGGCAGTCTTGGGAACGAGAGTTCTTGGCTTAGGCATCCAAATTAGGGATCAACTACAGGAAGGTCTTCCGAGCGTTCCCTCAGGACCCCAGGAAACCAAGGAAGCCCAGGAAGGCTGCCTGGGACAACCCCTGGCCTTCCCCGGAGAAAGGGAAACCCTCTCAAAGGCACTCGGGAGGGGCCCCGGGACGCTCGGCCCCACCTCTCTGTCTCACTACTCAGGAGCCACAGTATTTGTTCTTGAAACACGATTCAGGAAACCAACTGCCAAGGAACACGTGGCTTTCTCCCACAGGTTTACGGCAGTTTGTAATCTACAATCAAGGTTGAGAAAATACAATTTGACCTCGTGGGCAGGAGCTCCAATAAAAGTGATCAAGGTCAAAACAGCCAGACAAAACAATAACAACAATAAGAAAGAATAGAAAAGACGTAAGTGAACCTTGATACTTAAACATCAATGAGTCTTTTTAGTATTAAACATTTCATAAGAAAAAGCAAAAAGCAAAACACAACCACCTGGTGGAACAAAGTGCCAAATGACGGGTACCAATTGCGACAACTCTTTAACATTTGGCTTTAGTTCCTCAACTTATCATATAAACGCTTACCTTTTTCTTGCTACCAAGTCTTTGCCTCAGGATCTAAATCTCCATGGGGTCATGGAATAATGGAGTGAGGACAGAAACAAGTCTGATTTGCAGGATGGTAGGATACTTTTACTGTCTTCATTTGTACTCTAGCATCATGAATGACAACAGGATATTTCAAGCCCAGGTCAGAGGAAGGCTACGACAAAGTCCTATTAACAAAGGATATGTAAGTAAAGTCCACAGTGCAATGCCTATCACAGCCACCTCCCAATTCATTCTCTCCCATCACCATGACAACCAGTCACAAGCAGCCAGAACACTAGCAACCAAGAAGTAACTTTCCAGCCCGGCTGGTGTGGCTCAGTGGTTGAGCATCAACCTATGAATCAGGAGGTCATGGTTCAATTCCTGGTCAGGGCACATGCCCAGGTTACGGGGTCAATCCCCAGTAGGGGGTGTGCAGGAGGCAGCCTATCAGTGGTTCTCTCTCATCGTTGATGTTTCTATCTCTCTATCCCTCTCCCTTCCTCTCTGAAATCAATAAAAATATATTTTTAAAAAAATTTCCAGAAAAAAATTAAAAAATAAAATAAAGAGCTCAGGGTCAGGTGGCTTCACAGGTGAATTTTATAAAACAATTAAAAAAGAACCTCAGTCACTCACAAACTCTTCCCCCAAAAAAGAAGAAAAAGAAACACTTTCCAGCTTATTTTATGAGCTCAGTATTAACCTAATACTAAAACTAGACAAAGGCATCGCAAGCAAAGAAAACTATAGACCACTATCCGTATGAATATAGATTCAAAAGTCTTCAAAATACTAGCAAACAAAGTCCATAAGGACCATACACATGACCAAATAAGATTTATCCCAACAAGGTGGTTTCAACACATGAAAATCAAACAATGTAACACACCTTATTAGTAGTATAAAAAGCAAAGCCACATAATCTCAGCGGGTGTAAAAAAAAAGTATTTGACAAAAAGTCCAACACATTTCCATGATAAAAAATGATCAACAAATTATAAATAGTTTAATAAGGCCCTCTATAAAACACCCACAGCTAACAGCATCCTTGATGGTGCAAGACTGAACGCTCTGTCCCTAAGATTAGGAACAAGACACCATGTTCACGCCTACCGCTTCTATTCAACATTGTTCTGGAAGGTCTATCATTACATATGTTTTTTCTTCCTGAAATTTAATTCCACAATATATTATTCACTTCCCAGCAAATAAACATTAAAAGCCTCCTGTGCCAGGCATTCTGAAGCCCTAAGGATACAATAAGACGGTAAAAAAGGTTTCCAGCTCAGTTTTGGAGAGGGAGGAGAAAATAAATAAGCAAGTTAACTAGTCAATAAACAAGGCATTTTCAGTGAGTGCTAAGTGCTGAAAGGAAAATAATGATGGAATCGGTTGCCTTAATATCGGATAAAACCTAAGCTACTGCACAGCAGAGATTTTGGTCTATTTTGTTCACCTTATCCCAAGTGCGTAGAGAATCACTCAATAAATGTTGAATGAAAGAATGAATAAATGGATGAGTGAAGAAAAAATAAATGTATTTCTCTGATGGCAGAAAGATAGCGGCTGACTAGAAATGTTCAGTTAGAGGACCACTGAACAACGGCAGACTTCCAATCAAATGGCAAAATAAGACCGGGCATCCCCTCTTAACCCCAAGCAACAAAATGACAAATAAAAAGATACGTGGTTCTTCAAATTCACATGGAAACTAAGGGGTGATACCAGGAATATGTCACCAACTGCAGATCAATACAAATCAGAAGACCCTGAGCGCCAACTCCCTAAGTGTTATACATACTAGGTAGACCGGGGTTCTTCCAAAACCCATTAAGGGTCCCCAATGTGGAAAGATGCAGACAAGAGCTGTTTCCGCCTCCCAGGTCCCCATGTGGCACCACTGCCATCAGCTGCTGCATTGGGATCCTCTGGAGAGGAAGCCAGTGATTGGGCCAGACAGACCTGGGAGTGTGGACCAGGAAGAACCCAGATACAGTCACAAGGACCATCTGGCCTGGAGTCAAATCAACATACATCCTTTTTCTGATTGGTGTTTCTGATTTCTTGGGATATATTCCTAGAAGTGGGATCACTGGGTCAAATGGGAATTCCATTTTTAATTTTTTGAGGAAACTCTATACCAAATCAAATAGACAGTTAAACTCAGCAAAGCAGACCTTGTAGAGGCTTTGCCAGCCCGGACAAGACCGAGTTCCCCGCTGGAGCGGCCGGCAGCCCCAGCCCTGTCCCCCTGCCTTTCGGGTCCTGGAATGTTAAACCAGTTAGGCAAACTTTTACCAACCATCTCCCAAAGTTCAAATCCCAGGAGTAAAATTCTCATTTTAGGGGCTCCGATTAGAACTCCTCAAATTTGCTGGCAAACGTCAGAATTGGATTTGTCCTTTTGTTACAGATCCATGAATTACTAACATGGAATCATGAAAATATTACATAACCTAGAAACCTGGAGGAAAAGAATCCCCAGGACCTGGGGATATTTATGAACGGATTTACTATAAGAAAGACGACAGGTAGTTTCTGTTTGCATGGTGTCGATAAAATTCAAGAAAACAGGGATTGATTCAATAAAAGGTCAATGACGACACTCTAATGCAACAAACAAAGAGGGATCAAGCTGAGTTAAAGGAGTGTGAGAAATGCAACAAGAATTGAAAATGAATTCAAAACAGAACTTGAATCAGTGGGCCAAGGTGAACGACAGAGCAAATGGAAGAAAGACTTGAAGTGCTCAGCTGTTCAGAAAACAAGGAAGCCAGGTCCCGGTTCCCTCCAAACACTGACACGAATTCCAAGTAAATTAAGGAGTTACTATAAAAACAAATCATAAAGCAACCAGAAGAAAAGGGAGAGGAACATTTACCTACACTTGTGTGTATGAGGAACATAGGCTGAAGGTCCTGCAAACTTTAAATAAAAATTCAAAACTTCAAAATTAGAAAACGTGATTTCATAATACAGAATAAGTAGAGAACCCAAGCAGGCAATCCATGCACAAAAGCAGGAACACACGGTGTTAATAAGCATAAAAACTCTTACATCTCTAGTTACACCAGAAACATGCAGATTAAGCCCTAACCCGGGACACACACCAATGTGATAATCTGGCAAAAGTCAGAAAAAGGTATTGGTGCTTATGAGGGGATCTGGCCCTCGTATATTAACAATGGCCGAGTAAACTGACAGGGCAAGACTCATCAAAAATTTTGAAATCTTAAAATTTATTGAAAGGAAATGTGAGGTATGCCAACTCCATATGCCTCCTTTACAATAGGAAGAATTGGACCTAAAGTAAATAGTTAACAATTGGACGCTGGCTAATGATACATCCATATGATGGAAGACTAAAACACTACCCATACATGGAGAAAAGTTTAGGAATGGTTTTCTCTGGGCGGTGGGATTACATCTAATGTTTATTTTCCATGTTACCTTTTCATTATTGTCTTTTTTTTTTTACAGTTAACATACTTCTATTTTCATAATCAGAAAAAAGAGATAATATACAAATAATACTACTCCATAGTCAGAGCAGAGGATGTTGGATTGCGCAGGGAGCAAGTAAAAAAAGGCCAAGGGCCAAGGATAGAACCCAGGTGACCAACTACATACATATCAGTGAGTCTGGTAATACGTCTGTGCCCTCAAAGCAATGAGCCGTCCACCAACATCAGGGTGGTGCATATGCCGTGTAACTGAGTTTGCTCCCTGCTCACTCACCTAAGGCTCCCTTGGATTCCATGACTGAAACACAGAAGACACTCTGGTCGGGTCCCTCTTTCACAACTGCAGCCAGAAAGAAGCCTCGGGAACCACCTTCTCTCCCCAAGGCCCAGGGAACGGTGCAGACGGCTCCTAGCCCCCTCTCCCCACTTCCCTGCAGAGCTCCACATGGAAACTCGCCCACCCCCCACCTCCCTCGGGCCTGCACTTACCACTCCACTCCGGTTCCAAGGAGAGAAAACTGCTGCCCAGGGTTAGAGGAAGAGCTTTTGTATAATCCTGCCACTCCTCCCACCAGAGGCTCCTGCCTCCTCCCCCACCCCAGGACCTCAGAAAAGGGGGAGGGAAAGGGGAAGTCAGCTCTCAGGCATTTTTCCATGGGAAATGGCAAATCTTCAAGGACAATAAAGAGGAGGAAAGTGGTCTCATGAAAGTCATATTTCTCCAGTTACTTCTTCATTAGTTAGCAAATGACGTGGATCAGGTGAAAATATGTTTTCTTGAAACATGTCATATCCATTTCAGTTTTGGAAAAACATGGCACCATGAGAATTCACTTAAAAAAATTTTTTTTAAATGGGTGGATTAAATCCTTGTCCGAAAATCTTCGGTAGTTCCTAATTGGTACGACTTACTGAAGCTGTCCCCCATGGCAGCTGGACTTTTACATATGTATTACTTGGAAATCAGCACAACAGACTTAGACTTATAATAAAAATGAGGTTAGCCGAAACCGGTTTGGCTCAGTGGATAGAGCGTCGGCCTGCGGACTGAAAGGTCCCAGGTTCGATTCCGGTCAAGGGCATGTACCTGGGTTGCGGGCACATCTCCAGTAGGAGATGTGCAGGAGAAAATATATTTAATAAAATAAAATAAAATAAAATAAAAATGAGGTTAACATTTCATGTTAAAGAGAAAAATGAGAATGAGAAATAAGTCTCCCTGACTCTAAAACTATATTGATGAGATATTGTGAAGACTTCAGAGGATATTTAAAATGTCTTCTAAACTAGTCCAGAGCTAAAAGTTATTAAGCATCAAATAAAGAAGTTTAATGAGGTGTGTGTGGGGCGGGGGGGGAGGAGGGTGCACGTGTACGCACGGGAGACTTGGTGGCAGTTGCTCTGGGCTTAAAAAAATTCGGCTAATCTGCCCAGCCGGTGTGGCTCAGTGGGTGACCGTCAACCCAGAAACCAAGAGGTCGTGGGTTTCAATTCCCAGTCAGGGCACATGCCCAGGTTGCCAGCTCGACCCCCAGCAGGGGGTGTGCCGGAGGTAGCTGATTGATGAAGTTTCTCATTGTTTCTATCTCTCTATTCCTCTCCCCTTCCTCTTTCTTTAAAATCAATAAAAACATACTAAAAAAAAAAAAAAAAAAAGGGAGCCCAAAGGGCACCCCAGAGATTTTGTTCCCATCTTCTCTATGAGATTGTATAACTGGATTTGGCCCCCAAACGAGGAATTTTGATAAGCTTCTCCACCCATATTAGTTACTGACAAAAGTTAAATTTCGATTGATGTAATTGTGAAGAAAAAAACCCTCAGTGGTTGTAAAACAGAGGATCTTTGCTTTACAATCCTCCTTTCAATGGCCTGCCCCCAGGGGGAGCCTCATTCAAACAGCTGAGCTTGGCTTCACCAGGGTTCCACCAGTGTCCCCTCCTCTCAGCTCCCTGTCCTGGTCCTGAAAGCCAGGGCGAAGTTGGGACCATTTCTAACCGTCTGTGGAAGAGAAGTGTCCCCTCTTCTCTCGAACGAACCCTCCTTCACAGGAGGCAGGTCAGAGGGAGAAGGAGGTGCCTGGGCCGTGGCACAGGACAAGATGGGATGTAGGCCTCGCATCGCCACTCACTAGCCGTGACCTTGAGAAAGTTATTTAATGCGAGAGAGCTTCACTGTTTTCATCCACGGAGTAGAGATTATTAATCGAATAGACTGGTGAGAACTGTCTGACATAACCATAGAATGAATGTATTTAACATGGCAACATGGTGCATGACACTCAAAGCATGGCAGTTCCATCGCCATCAACATCATTATCATCAAAACAACCCATAGAAAAAGCAGGCCTGGCTGAAATGCGAGAATCCTCCAAGAATGATAGCAGTACAGCACAGCCACTTAAGAAGTGACATCTGAAGTCAGACAATCGAGGCTTTGCCAGTGATTAGTTACCTGACTTGGGCAAGTTACTTAATTCGGGCCTCAGTTTTCTCATCCATAAAATGGAACCGGCAGAAAAACATTTCAGTTTTCTTCTGAAGATTGGATGTGCCAAGGAGTATAAACTGCTTAGAACAATGCTCAGTACATGTTCTCTCCTTTAACCCAGCACCTCGAGTAGGACGCAGCAATAGCAGGCACTCAAAATATTTGATGAATAAATAAATGTGATCTTTCCTCCCCTGAAATAATCTCTTGACTATGAGAAGCGCTTAAGGAAATCTTTTGATGTTTTGTGCACATCTCCCTACAATAAACTTGAAGCTCCTTGGGGTGGTTTGAAATGCCTGAAAGGAAAGTGACAGTCGGACAAAGCCTAGGTGGCCACTCCATTTCCCCTGGGATGTCACTCTGTGACACCTTTGGCAGCTAAACTTGCTAATGATTCTATTCCTTAACTCAAATACTTAGTTGCACAAGAGAAAAACAGCACGGACTTTGCTCTTTCACAAATAATCCCCGCCCCTCTCCGCCCCCAAATTCTCTGCTACTGCCCCAGGTCTTCACCTGTGACACAGTCACTGTTCCTGGTCAGCTGGACCCTTTCCCAGCCTTATCCCCTCCCCTGACGGACCGGGTTGGGAAGATCATAAATTCTTTCACTGAGAGAACGATGCTGCTTTGTCACGTTTCTGCTTGAAGATGTTTGGGAACCTACTCAGTGAATAAAGGGCTTCTTCTGAGATGTGTCAGGCGGGAGAAATAAATTCAACTACCACAACTGTCCAACTTTCCCCGTAGGCGTCACTTTCAGTCATTCCTCCGACAAAGCATTTCTCTGATAAATCAAAGGTGACCTACATTTTAGTCAACATAGGAGAGTCAGTTTTTCAGCTACCGAGCAAACAGAAAAATCGAGACATTGATCCAATACCTAATGATTTTTCTTCTTTTTTGTTAATCCTCACCCGAGGATATTTTTTCATTGATATGTAGAGAGTAGAAGGGAGGGGTGAGACAGAGAGAGAGAAACATCGATGTGAGAAAGACATTGATAGGTTGCCTCCCACACACGCCCCAACCAGGGACAGGGATCGAGCCTGCAACCGAGGTACATGCCCTTGACTGGAATCAAACCTGGACCCTTCAGTCTGCAGGCCGACGCTCTATCCACTGAGCCCAACCAGCTAGGGCTGATTTTTTTTTTTTCTTAATGTGCTGATCCCTTACGTGCCTGGAATCAAATGGACAGTATTTCCAAACTTTTTACGTGTTGTTTCCCTGATGAATTATTTTAAGAGAATTGAATGTTATAACATTGATAGTTATGCCAAAATTTCCTCTCAAGAATACCTTCATAGGGTAGACTGCCTCTCAGTGGGGGCAGGGTGAGGTCTCTGTTTAAAAAAATCATCAAATTCATTTATTCTACAACCAGTAGGGTGAATGGTACTTTAGTAATGTCTAGAAGTACATGGACAATTTATTTAATAATCAATCCTCCTTTGCTTACTTCCATTTTCAAGGTAGAAACCTGAGACCCTGCTAAAAGGGATCCTTTCTCTCTTAAATGTATTCTAATCTTAACTCTAACTTTGCACAGAATGGTGAGATTAAGGAATAAGAAGGTCACATTGGAATGAAGGTTTTTCTGGTTATCTATAAGGGGCTTTCCTGAAGCTAAGTAATCCACAGGCCTCCCTCTCAGACAGACTTTGGGGAAGTGTCCCTTTTGAGTACATTACCTGATCGACCAGTTAAGTCAATCCTGACTGCCTTGTGCCTGGGCATGCATTCATTTAAAAAGTTAATAAATGCCTACAGTGTTCTAGATATTGTGCTAGTTCTTAGAGTTACTAAGATGAATAGGATACAGCCTTTGTTTGCTTTTCAATGTGAGGTAGCAATAGCGCTCATATGGAAAAATGGTGAAAGATTTATGCGTTCTTTCAGAAACATTTGAATGTCTAGGACACACTGGGTCCATGCAGTAGGAACGAAGGAAGACATGTACCCAGTTTTCACAGAGCTTATGACCTACCAGGGGAGGCATCTTGATGTATTAAATCACAATAAGCGCTATAATGGAAACTTGAGGATGCTTAAGAGCGCACAGCAAAGGCAGAGGTAATAACAGCACTGATTTTCATTTTTTAAAAAACTGCTGCAAATTGTTAAGATGCAGCAAAAATAAAACTCAGAAATGAAGGCTTAGTGGGGTTAAAATTCATCCTTTCAAACAGTAAGTGGGAATCAATAAGATCAACAATACTAATAGATGCAGATTTGAGGCTGTTTCCCATGGTCTGGGGCTGGCTTCTCCTGACGATGACTAGGTTATTTTATAAAACTTAAAATTATACACTGAAGACTCCAACAGGTTCCATCTAGTTAGAATCTCTTGCTGATACACATAACACACCTGTGGTATCAAACAGCAGGGTGGTGGTGGCCAGAGGGAAGGGGGTGGGTGGGGCGGAGGTGGAAGGGGCCCAATATATGGTGATGGAGGATGATTTGACTTTGGGTGGTGGGCACACAGTGCAATACACAGATCTTGTAACATAGAAATCCACACCTGAAACCTATATGTCACCCCAATAAATTTAATTTTCAAAAAAGACACCTGGGATAGGCTAAATAACGGCCCCCAAAGAGATCTCCATTCTACTCCCCATCACCCTTGAATGTTACCTTTTATGGCAAAAGGTACAGATCTTCAAATGGAGAGAGAGGCCTGAGTTATCTCGGTGGGCCCTTCCTTACAGGGGGAGGCAGGAGACCAGAGTGAGTAGAAGGCTAAGCGACCACAGAAGCAGAGACTGGAGGGATGAGGCCAGGACCAAGCAATGCTGTAGCCTTCAGGAGCTGCAAGAGACAAGGAATGGATTTCCCCCTGGAGAATCAGAAGAAACCAGCTCTGCTGACATAATCGTTTTACCCCCATAAGATTCATTTGTTGTCTGACCTTTGCAACTATAACAGAATTAGTTTGTGTGGTCTGAAGCCACTAGGTGTGTGGTCATTTGTTACAGCATCAGTAGGAAACTAATACAACCCTCAATTACTAAGAAGGTCCTTGGGAGTCTTTATGGAAAAGTCAGTGTGACTGTCGCTTCCTAACCTCAGTTTTCTGCCACCCTTCTTCCTGTAAAAGCGGATGATCTTCATCCTCTTCTCCCTCGGTTATAGTATCCAATCAGAGGAAACTATAATGGAAAAATTAATTACCATAAGAAATGGGAAGAATATTACTCAAAATGAACTGCTCTCTGCTGTTCTTCTCTATAAACTTTAGAATTAAGTTTTCCAATCTATGTTGCACTAGAAGCAAGCGTATGATAGGCATACTTCATTGCAGGTCATTGTTTTTCTGTTTTGTATTATCAAGCAAATAGATGTGAGACTTTAACGTATTTGCTGATGACAGTCCATCTGTTTCCTCAAGAAAGGATCATCAGTGAGATGTTGTTAGTATTTCTTCAGTACTACTGACCTTGAGAATCTCATGCTAAGAAAATAAGTCCGATGGAAAAAGTTGAGAGCCATGTGTTTTTACTCCTATGTGGGATATAAAACAGAAAGCAACAAACGAACAAACAAGACAAACAAAAAACTCACAGACACAGACAACAGTATAGAGTGTCCAGAGGGAAAGGGGGGTGGAGGGCGGAAAAGGGGGTCAAATATATGGTGACTTGACTTTGGGTGATGAACACACAATACAATCTACAGATGATGTATGACAGGAGTATACCCTTGAAATCTATATAATCTTATTCATTAACCAATGTTACCCTAATACATTTAATAAAATTGTCACAAAAGTAAAAAAAGAAAGGACTAGCGTGGAGAAGGAAATAACCTTTCAATAGATAAGGTCATTTCAATAGATAAGATCACACTCCAGCTGTGGGCAGCGGGCCACGTGTTCTGCACCCTCTTCTTTCACATTCAGACACGTACCGCTTGATCCTGCTACACGTTTAAATGGAGGCGTGCCACCTGCAACAGCAAATAGGAGAGCGAATTCCTATCTGTGGGGAAATGCATTCATAATCATTAAAGTGGCTCTAGGAAGCCAAGGAACCTGTTGTATTATCACCAGCAAGAATAGCTGTGCTTCAAGGATTAAAAAACCCTAATATAACCAATGTCACCCCAATACATTTAAAAATTAAATTTAAAAGTCTGTTATTCTAACGTATAACATCAACTGATGTTCTAATATTAAGTCTTTTTTAAATTAACAGGATAAACTGAATTTGGCTAAAAACCAACCAACCCCTAACTGTCTGACATGATGGATGTTCACCTACTTTCAAGTGCCTCCCATGCTGAATGTTTCCTGTTTACCTCCCTGGATGCACTCCTAGCCCTGTGCTGTGCCCAGGAGGCTGCCCTCTGTACTACAGCAATGGGCTTCCTCTGCATACTGCCTCATTGGTGGTTTCTGGAAGCTCCGTCCACCTATTGGCATTCATTTATTAAACTTCCCTCCAAGTTGGGTGTACATTTTTTTTTTCCATCTTACACATGCATCTCATTCAACTTCTTGAAGTTGTATTTTGAAGCGAAGCGATTCCACTGGAATCTATTCTATTTGAAATCAATTGTTCTGTGGGGCCTAGACTGAAGTTACTGTAAGACTATTTGGCTTCGTCTGCCCTTGACATTTTTCAATAGATAAGTAATGTCTCCTAAGCTTTATCCTACAGAGCTCTAGGGTCCCAGCTGAAAAGTTTTCTAAATGTTTCCATGATGCAAAACGCTTGTTCAAAAGAAATTCAGGCCCACAGGGAAGAGGAATAACTCCTCTTCGGGGTGGGAAAACCTGTGAGACTTCTATATTTCTACAAGACAATATCAACAGTCTTGATTGTGAAGTATGACATAAAAAGCATTTGAATCTCTTTAATGAGCAAGGACTCCAGTCATTCACTAAATAATTTAACCTTGAAATGACCTTGATCTAGCAAAAATTTGCCACATTTGGGTCAATGTGGTTGGGATCCATCCACCTCAATACACAGAACTCCTATGTTACTCATTCTATTCTATGAATATAAAATAGTATCAATACATTTGCTTAGGGAAGGTATTTAATGTCACCTTTCACTGCAACTACAGTGGACATCTTTGTACACACCTCCTTGCACATGTGCACTAGGGAAGTAATAAGAAAATACTGACGGTATGATGTTTCATTTTTTCCACCTGCATGTTCTGATCTGCTTGTGAATTGTGAAATCACTTGTGTGTTTTCACCAGAATTCTTTTCATTTTAAAGTAAAATAGCAGAGAAAAGACAATACAGAATACAGGCTAAGTATTATTCTATAAAATTTTGGAGATACACACACACACACACACACACACACACGGACATCTATGTAGGTTTGTGTATTGTATGTGTCATAGTGTAAAACATTTTTCTTATGATGGGTTACAATCAAAATATCTGAAAACAGATCCACAACATGGACACAGAGCAGAATTTCTATATCATAGAATATACACATTTTCAACTGACTGCTATTGGTACTTTGTTGAATACATTTATGCTTCCATCAGGATATAAGTACATTCTTTTCTCTATATCTTCACGTTTTGATTTTATGACCCCCCTCCCCCTGAATCTTATGGATTTTAAATATTTTTGTTTCAACTTGCATTTCTCTGATTCTCCAGGGAGGCTGAAGAATTGCCTAACAGGATTTTTTTTTGTGAGCTTTTCTTTCTGATTTCACTAATTTTTAATATATTCTGGATATTAATCCTTGTCTCTTAAAGAAGTTGCAAATACTTTCCCCAAATCTATTGCTTTTCTGTTAACTTTGAGGTGTGGTTAGTCATATAGATAGAAATTTAAAGTTAGATGTAGTCAATCTATCAATCTTTTCTTTTTTAAAAATAATTTGATATTTTTGTTTCTTTTTAAAATATGTATATATATTTATTTATTAATCCTCATCTGAGGATATTTTTCCATTGATTTTTAGAGAGAGTGGAAGGGGGGAAGGAGAGAGAGAGAGAGAGAGAGAGAGAGAGAGAGAGACATCAATGTGAGCGAGATACATTGATTGATTGCCTTTCCACATGCCCTGACCAGGGCTGGGGATGCAGCCTGCAAGTGAGGTACATGCCCTTGACCGGAATCGAACCCAGGACTCTTCAGTCCACAGGTCGATGCTCTTTCCATGGAGCCAAACTGGCTGGGGCTGATTTTTTTTACTTCTTGCCTGAGAAATCCATCTGTCCCTCAAGGTCTGTTATTCTCTGATATCTCTTTAAAATAGTTTTAAAGTTTTGCATTCTTTTAATTTAGGCCTTCAACTCATTTGGCATTTATTTTTATTATGGTGAGAACCTAATTTTATATTATTTGATATAGAAACCCAATCGTTACCACATCAATAACTGACTTGCTAGCTCTTTTCTATTCAGCCAGGGGCAGAGGGAACCTCAGTGCCAACCCAGAGACAGGGTCCTAACTGGTCTTCAACTAGAACCAAGTCAACACTGGCTGTCGCTGGGTATTGAGCTGATGAGTAAGACACTCTCTAAATTCTGGTTTCCAACTTTTCTATAATGGGATCATTACTCTTACAATGCAAAGAAAGAGCTCCAAACGACCCCAAGCCACAAGTGTCTTAGTTTATTGTTTATTTTGAATGCCCCGACCATTTGTCATACCATCTTTAAAAAATTGTTTTAGCCCTGGCCAGTGTTCCTCAGTGGTTAGAATGTTGGCCCTTGCCCTGAAGGGTCATGGGTTTGATTCCTGGTCAAGGAAATGTACCTGGGTTGCGGGTTTGATCCCTGGGCCCCGTTGGGGTGCATGCCAGAGGCAACCAATCAATGTGTCTCTCTCAACAACAACAACCCGTTTTATAGCTTGGTCTTGTTCTGGGGTCTCTATTATGTCCTACTGATTACCTTCTATTGCTGTACCAATTCTATAGCTTCAGGAATTGTAATCTATGGGAATTCAAATCCCTTCTGCTTGCTCCCAGAGCTGGGGAAAGAGGACACCCAGGGCCGGAACCGATGGACTCCTCATCTATTCAGCCAGGGGCAGAGGGAATGTCAGTGCCAACCCAGGGACAGAGTCCTAACTGGTCTTCAACTAGAACCAAGTCAACACTGGCTGTCGCTGGGTATTGAGCTGATGACTAAGACACTCTCTAAATTCTGGTTTCCAACTTTTCTATAATGGGATCATTACTCTTACAATGCAAAGAAAGACTCCAAACGGCCCCAAGCCACAAGTGTCTTAGTTTATTGTTTATTTTGAATGCCCCGACCGTCGGAGAGGAGCTTCTAAGTGTCCTTGCAAGCTCTTCCTCTCGGGTGGTGGACAGGGTCTTTGCTTCCAGAGAAACACAAGCAGGACTCCCCAGTCTGGGGGTTTGGGTCGCATCTGCCCGGGCTTTACAACACTGAGAGGAGTTCCGTAACTTCCCTGAAGGCGAAACAGGGACTCTTGCTAGTCCCTACGGCATCCAGGCCCACGTTCCGGGCGTAGCAGAGAGATGTAAAACGTGGTTGAGAGGCCCTGCTTATGAAGAGCGCAGCACATCTCAGGGCGTAAGGAACATGAAAACTTCAGCAAATACAGAGGACAGACGGGTACAGTGCGAACCCAGAGGCCGATGCGGAAGGACAGGGGAGTGCTGCAGCCGATGGGGTGACGCCTCCCAGTTCCCAGAAGCAGTCACGGCGACATCATCTCTTTTCCTCTAATGCAATTTCTCTCTCTAAGAGATCAGTAGAAATGGCAATTCTGAAAACACACATTTTCCTGGGTGTTGCTAGTCCCTACGGCATCCAGGCCCACGTTCCGGGCGTAGCAGAGAGACGTAAAACGTGGTTGAGAGGCCCTGCTTATGAAGAGCGCGGTACATCTCAGGGCGTAAGGAACATGAAAACACTTCAGCAAATACAGAGGACAGACAGGTACAGTGCGAACCAGGAGGCCGATGCGGAAGGACAGGGGAGTGCTGCAGCCGATGGGGTGACGCCTCCCAGTTCCCAGAAGCAGTCACGGCGACGTCATCTCTTTTCCTCTAATGCAATTTCTCTAACAGATCAGTAGAAATGGCAATTCTGAAAACACACATTTTCCTGGGTGGGAAAGTGACATAAAGCGCTGCCGCCCAAGCTCACTGACTCGGGGTGAATATTCCGATGTGAGGTAACAGTCAACTTTCATGGCGAAGCAGATCTTCTTAGTGCATGCTTTTAGGAAACTCATTATGATTTTGATTTTCTTGAAAGTTGGTAGTACTTAGTGAAAAACCAAGTTTTCCTATGAAATTACTGTGCCTTCCACTTGACTACACGGGGAGGGGCGGGCCTCGGACTAGAAGGGTTCAAGTTCTTAAACGATGCCCAAGTCCCTCACTGCATGACACTGAAAACAAAGCACATTTAAAACTTGTGGAAGGTCATTTTCTCTTCTTCCTTATTAAAAATGGCACCTTCCCCCTCACCTCCAACATCCAAGTGCTCAGCATGTCATTTTTGGTAAGTGCCCTCCATCCTGATAAAACTCCGTCAGGCGCTGGGCGTGATTTTGAAGTCACTGCTGGCACTAGAATCTGTGATGGAATTTTTCCAGAGGAGCACACAGTGGGAACTGAAGAAATTCCACAATCGGAGCGCTGAAGGGGGCTCACAGGGAGTCGCAGGCAACCTCTGACCGAGAACGTGTTGGTACAGTTGGCGTTTCCTAGAGGATTCTCTGTGGGACTAAAGACACACGGAGCTCAAGCCCACCAGGAGGCTGCAAACCAAGGCGAGGCCGCAGATTTCGGGAGGGGGGGGCCCCGGGCCACACAGAGGCTGGGTTTTCCTCTGCGCAGACCAGCGTGCCTCACAGATTCCTGGTGAGGAGCAACCAGTGAGGGGAGACATCAAATAGGATATAAAGATGAATCGTAAGGACCTAACAATGAAACCTTAAGGGTGTTTATCTTCTGTTACTGAAACGGTGAGAAAAACTTTTCACATATCTGCCTTTAGGTCCTAATGAAGGAACAGCAACCCGATCGCACTTCTAGAAACAGGTGGGTTTGCCACTCTGGCTGTGGACTTGAGCGTCTGGCCAGAGGTCGTGATTCTGAGCTAAACCCGGATTCTGGACACAGTAACATCTATTTCCTCAATGCAGTGATGGCCTCGCTCAGGAACTCTCTTCTCCAACTCGCTCTGTGCCTGGAAACAGTCCCGAAGCTGAGCACCTTCGACCTGTGTCCGAGCCCAGCTCTCTTTAGTTCCCGGCAGAACCTGCCTTCGCCGGAGGCACGAAAGATGACCTCCTGCTCCGGAGGAGGAACCTGGGGCCTCTCACTTGATCATGTGAGTCCCTTCGTCCGCATCATAAAATTCTTCCTCTTCACTCTCACTCCCCGGAGCGCTGCCCTTGTCCACGGACTGCAACAGGAGAGGAGAGTGGCGTGAAAGGGTGTCATGACGTTTCCAAAATGAAAATTACTATCGAGCGTCTAACTGACACGTCTTTCTGTGACACATATTCTCCTAGGAATTAGCCCCAAGGTGTCCTAAGAAAGCTAGTGAACCATCAATCATCTTTATTTCTCTGAAAAGCAGTTGCTATGACACCCCACCCTTTTTTCCATGAGTTTTGCTCAGATCTGTTTCCTCTAACCAGACACACTCCCCCCTCCCCCGCCCAAAGAAAAATGACCATCATCGCCCAGCCCGTGTGGCTCAGTGGCTGAGCATCAACCTATGAACCAGGAGGTCACGGTTGGATTCCTGGTCAGGGCACAGGCCCGGGCGGCGGGCTCAATCCCCAGTGGGGAGCGTGCAGGAGGCAGCCGATCTATGATTCTCTCTCATCATTGATGTTTCGGACTCTATCCCTTCCCCTTCCTCTCTGAAATCAATAAAAATACATGTTTTAAAAAAACTATTGTCCTCTAAGTGGTGATTCTGAATGCGTATGACACAGCCATACCTGTGGGACGTCCAGGGTCTGCAAAGACAGAGCTTCGTCCCCCAGACTCCGGTAGGAGTACACCTGGAGGTCGGAAACGGTCTCTAGCAACGGGGCGTTCAGGGTTTCGGGCAATAACAAACTCAGCAGGCCCGCGGCCAGGCCCGTGGCTCCAAAGACAATGAAAGGTAAAGACCATTGCACATATTTCTGTGGGGCAGGGAGTGGAATGGAAACAAACAAAAACTCAGCATTAGTTTCCCTGGAGATGACCCGTCCTGCTTACTGCCCCGCCCATGCCTTCCCACCGGAATACACTACAAACCAGTCTCTCCCCAGAGAGAACGGCCCTGGGGATGGCGATCCCTCAGGCATGGAGGGGAGTGAGAGAGTAACAGCCCTGGGGGTCAGGGCAGGCTGTGCTCTGCATGGGGCACCCCCCGGGGGCGGGGCAGCCAGCCCCCACGGCCAGAGTTCGCAGGGAACCTGGGGCTCAGCTTCCGTTCCAGGGCCACAGCTTGCAGCACAGTGACTTCCACACACTCTTCACTTAGGACACGCCCCCGATATTTGCTGCTGGCGAACTTGAACGTTCTCAACCCTGGAATCAGCCAAACCATCCCTACACGCTCACCGATTCACTCTGCACCATAACTGAGGGCTTAAAGGTATACATATCCTGAGAAGAAAGAGAAGCCGAGAGCACCCCACGCACACGTGGTTGGAAACTGCCTGCCCTGAACAGGTGGAGGGCCAGGGAGCGATGCGAGCCCTTGCCACAGAGATCCAAGAGACGTGCTCTGGAAGCGAGGCTTCTTTACGTGCACACAGGCTCCCAGACAGCAACGCAGAGGAAACAGTGCTTGCGGGGCTGCCCGGGTCTTGAATTCCTGCCCAGGGGCTGCTCAGCATCAGGGCCTCGGGGTTGGGCTTCCACGTCCTGAGGGCAGGACCGCTGCTGGTGCAGACAGCCTCTCAGCCTCTGTGGTTACAGTTTTTTTGTTGTTGTTGTTTTTTTTAAAGATTTAATTGGCTTTATTAAAAGATTCATGCCGAAACCGGTTTGGCTCAGTGGATAGAGTGTCGCCCTGCAGACTGAAAGGTCCCAGGTTCGATTCCGGTCAAGGGCATGTACCTTGGTTGCGGGCACATCCCCAGTAGGAGATGTGCAGGAGGCAGCTGATCGATGTTTCTCTCTCATCGATGTTTCTAACTCTCTATCTCTCTCCCTTCCTCTCTGCAAAAAATCAATAAAATATATTTTTAAAAAAAGATTCATGAACCAGGTAGCATCCCCTCCAGCAACTAGAACAGAACTCCCTGCGGTTACAGTTTTGCTGATTTTTCAAAAGTGAAGAGATGATGGAAAAGGGGGAGGGGGGAGGGGCGAGGGAGAGGATGGGGGAGCAGCAGGATCTCTGACCTCTGGCCACCTCTGGGCAAACACACGTCCGGCACATGGACGTGTTGCTCAATCAAAGTGAACACACACTCTCGCCTCTTCTCTGCTTGGCGGGAGCCAACAGAGACCCAGAGCTGGGCCTCCCTGCTCCAGGGTAGCAGCCGAGGGTGGGTCTTTAACCATGAACCCTAATGCCAGGCACGCTTTAGAGGGAACTCATATGAGTCCTTCGAAAGGAGGGTCTTGTCACCTCAAATTAAGCACGAGACACGGGGAGAGATACTCAGAAAAAGGAAGTGCATCCAAACTCAAAACAAGGAACAGCTACGGTGCATTTCAGAGACGTCCGGGACGAGGAAGCGGTGGGTGATGAACAGTTGTCCCCAGAACATCCACAAGCGCCACCCAAACCTGTCCCCCCACGAGTCTAGGCGGGGAAGTCCTAGGTCAGACCCGGCAGAGACGGCCCGGTCTCCGGGGCCCCGAGCTGAGCCCGAGCCCTTCCTGGCAGGAAGGATTCGGGCTGTCATTTAAGTCTAACTCTTTGCTCTGACTGTTACATTTAGAAAATGGCAGAAAGTATTAATAGACACACTGCTAGGCGTGTTTCTCCTCTGAGTTTCTTTTCCAAGTGGTGTGCGTGGGGAGGTATGTCACCTCTTCCTGCTGCAGTCTCACCTTTAATCAGGGTTGCACACCGCCCGCCTCCGTGTCGCTGTGACTGCAGGAGGCGACATACGGAGGGAGCTGAGCACGGAGCCCGCACACGGCAGACGCCTCATAAGCGTTCCCTATGGACTAGCTTGTGAACGGGGACAAGAAGGGACAAGCTGGCTTCAGCTGAGGGTCCGGAGAACACGGATGAGCGGAAAATCTGAGCCGGGGGTGAAAGCATCCCGGGAGGAGTCCGTCCGCCCTGCAGACCCTGCCTCTAAGGCACACGGTCCCGGGTGCGTCGGGCTGATCTTAAATGGCAGCGGCCCATGACCTCTTTCTACGCAAACCCACAGGCATCTCCAAAGCAGAGGATCAAGAAAAACAAAGTGAGGAGGAACAAACCAACCAGAGAGGGGATGAAGGGAGCAATGATCCCACCGACGCGGGAGAACATGGAGCAGGTGCCAAGCCCAACATTCCTGAAAGGCAGAAGAAAGTGACAAAATTCAGTAAGTTCTAGGGGGGCAATTTGAAGACCCTGGGGTGTGTGGGTGGGGGCAGTGGGCCTAGAACAGTGATGGCGAACCTATGACACGCGTGTCAGAGGTGACACGCGAACTCATTTTTTTGGTTGTTTTTTCTTTGTTAAATGGCATTTAAATATATAAAATAAATATCAAAAATATAAGTCTTTGTTTTACTATGGTTGCAAAGATCAAAAAATTTTTATATGTGACACGGCACCAGAGTTAAGTTAGGGTTTTTCAAAATGCTGACACGCCGAGCTCAAAAGGTTCGCCATCACTGGCCTAGAACAACATCCTGAGTAAACGCATGGGGTCCCGAAGAGCAGTGCCGCCCACCAGCCCTGTGGTGCTGCCGGTGTCTGTGACTGACCGCCCAGCATGGAAGCCACTAGATGCAGCTACGGAGCCTCCTCTCTAAGTGGGACTAAGGATGAGGAACTGAATTTGTAACTTTTTTTTTCTCTCATCCTCACCTGAGGATATTTTTCCATTGATTTTTTTTTTAAAGTAGAATGGAGGGGAGGGAAGAGGGGGAGAAAGGGGGAGAGGAACATTGATGTAAGAGAGACACATCCATTGGTTGCCTCCCACACGCACCCCTGGCAAGTGCCGACTGAGGGAATCCGGCCCAGCTCACAGGGGCAGTTCTAACTGTGAGGACTAAGATGCATCCCGGGCCTTCACATTTGTTTGTTTTTGTTTTCAGGCCCATTTTATGTGGGGAAACTTGGGATGGAATATGTTCTTTTTAATATAAGCCTGTCCTACTCATTAAATCCACCTACTATGTATATCTGATATTTACTTATTACTCTATGGAATTGTCCTCTTTAAAATGTGTATATCTTAGAATGCTATTAACCAATGTTGCCCCAATAAATTTATTTTTTAAAATATGTATATTTTGCGCTAAAATGTAGGCTCCGTGAGAACAGAGACTTTGTCCCCTTGCCTGTCTCGTGCCTTGACACGGGATGGGTGACTTTATTAAGAAAGGAAGTCACCAAAATGAGACAACATCCAAGCACTATTTGGGTGACAGGACATGTTCAGAGCACAGTCCTCGTCTCACAATTTCCATGAGAGAATTCAGCTCAAGTGAAGCTACAATTTCTTCACCAAGGAGCCGAGAGCCACCCACACAGAGTTTCTGAGCTCCCCCTGCTTGCTGACCTGCTGCTGGCCGCACTGGGATGCAAGCACCTAGGCCACAAGGCAGGCTGTGTGTGGGACAGAGGCTGTGTATATGGGAGGGAGGCTGTGTGTGTGGGACGGAGGCTGTGTGTGTGGGAGGGAGGCTGTGTGTGGGAGGGAGGCTGTGTGTGGGATGGAGGCTGTGTGTGTGGGATGGAGGCTGTGGGACGCGTACCTGATGACTGTAGGGTAGAGCTCAGAGGTGTAGATGTACACAACGTTGAAGGCGGCGCTGATGGTCAGCTTCCCCAGCAGAGACAAGGACCGGCTGTTCACCACGGCGAACACGCCCGTGTCTGAGGAGCAAAGGGTGACACCCATGAGGTCGCTGGTGGAACTAGGCTTTTAGAAACGACACATCTCGTTCTGAAGGAGGGAGGGGCATTAATTCGGATCTGGAACAGCCAGGAGGGAATGTCAGTGAATCTGCATTCAGAGGTGTAGCGCTCACTCACACACACATGCAGGTACTTCCCGCTGTGCTGCTGTTCCCACGGAGTCTCACATGGTGAGGTCACTCTGTGACCAAACCCGCACTCCCTCCTGAAGGACAGGGCTCCCTGAAAACGTCCCCATTGGAGGAGAGTGAGCCGCCGGGAAATTGTCCGCTTCATGGACCACAGATGTTAACTGCGTCTCCTTTCTTCCCAACCTTGTTCAACAATCAATGCTGTAAATGGTCAGGCCTGGCCGGCGTGGCTCAGTGGTTGAGCATCGACCTATGAACCAGGAGGTTACGATTCGATTCCTGGTCAGGGCACTTGCCCGGGTTGTAGGCTTGATCCCCAGTGTGGTGTGTGCAGGAGGCAGCCAATCAATGATTCTCTCTCATCATTGATGTATCTCTGTCTCTCTCTCCCTTCTCCCTTCCTCTCTGAAATCAATAAAAATATATTTAAAAAATAAAAAATAAATAAAACGGTGGTCAGCACAACAAACGCTGGCAGTGGGAGTTCAGGCTGACAGAGAAGATGAGCAGGGGTGAAGGCTGAGGGCCAGGAAAACGCCTCTTCCATTGGCCATCCTTGGTGTCCCATTGCAAAAATAAGGAATAATCCCATTAAGTCACTACCAGAGATATGAAACATTAATGTTCGTGAAAAAAAAGAGAATTAAATATAGAACCACTTTCGGTCCTTCCTCCTCCCCAACTTACTTGAGTTACTAATCAGTGATATTTGAGTTTCTTAATGTCCCGTTTTCACATAACATGAAGAAATACATTTTATGCCAGTTCACTTCTCTTTCATAAATACAATCAATTTTCCTGTGGGTCTTTCCTCTATTAACAATATCCCCTCTGGGACTTTGTAATTTAACTAGAGGCCTGATGCATGAAATTCATGCAAGGGGCTCGGCCCTCGTGCCCCGGCTGCCTCGAGGCCCCACGGCCCCACCCACTAGTCGTTCAGGAAGGTCATTCCGCCATCCAGTCTAATTAGCATATTAGCTCTTTATTATATAAAGTACTAGAGGCCCGGTGCATGAAATTCATGCACGGGGGGGTGGGGGGAGAGGGCCTCAGCCCGACCTGCACCCTCTCCAATCCAGGAGCCCTCAGGGGATGTCCTACTGATGGCTTGGGCCCACTCCCCGTGGTTCTCTGCTCTCTGTGGGGCCTGCCTGCTCCACACCATGACGGCCAAGCAGGCCCTGCTGGGTGTTGTTTGCGGCCGTGCTTGCCTACTTGCGGGTTGCCGCGGTGACGGCCAAGCGGGCCCTGCTGGGTGCTGCCTGTGGGCACACTTGTCTGCTGGGCTCACGTTGCCGGGGTGATGCCGCCAGTGTCCTGCCCCGGCTGCTATGGGCGCCGCCATCTTTGTCGCAAAGTGATGAAGTGATGGTAAATTTGCATATTACTCTTATTAGATAGGATATCCTATTGCATAGAAAATTTCTCATGCTCCATAATTTATATTTATTTTTTAATTTTAAGAGATATTTTGTATATATTGTTCCACTAGCACTTGCTGACAATTGAGTGCAGTATTAAAAATACAGGATTGTTCCCTTTCAAACATCGTTAACCTCTCCTCTTCAATCACTCACCAGCTTCTACCTTCTCTCGTTTCCCGAGAGAAGAAACGATGCTCATCGTCTCTGTTGTACTTTCCCCCCTTCACTATCAAACGTCTCCAGCGAGTGACCACCCTCCACTTCCTCAGAGGCAGCTGCCCGTCACTCACCACCATCTGGCTCCCAAGGCCATCCTCCCCTGAAATGCCTGCTCTTGAAGGTCAAGAGCGATGTCCTGATCACCAAGGTAATTGCCTCGCATCCTCCTTGACATTTATGCTCAATAGAACACGCCTGGCCCCTTCCTTGGGACTGCGTGCATGGCTCACACAAACCACTGTTCCCTTAAATAACTCAAATACGCAATGCCCTCTCCTTCCTTTGACCTTCACTGCCTCTATTTACCAATCCACTCAACCGGCAGGCTCCAGGCTCTCCTGTAGGTGCTTGCTCTTCCACTTGGTCTGCCCACAATGTATTTCGAGTTAGCGCAGGCGAAGGCGGGTCTAGTTTGCTTGCAGCATCTCCCATAGGAAGATGCTCAGTGATGCTCACTCAATATTTGTTGAACAAATCAGTGGAAGGACCATGACAGGGATTATTGTTTCTATAAAGTTTTATTTTGATAAAAGAAATCTTATCCTGCAGAGGTTATTTCTTCTCTTGTAAACTTTTCCTGGAGTGACCCTTAAAAGGCAGTTCCTTCTGCATTTCAGTATCTAACAGAATGTAGCAAATACTTATTTTGTTGCTGTTGTTAACCGTCATGCGAAGGTATATTTTTCCATTGACTTTTAGAGAGAGTGGAAGGGAGGGGGAGAGACAGAGAGAAACATATCGATTGGTTGCCTCCTGTATGGGCAAGGGATGGAGCCTGCACCTGAGGTACGTGCCCTTGACTGGAATCGAACCCGGGACCCTTCAGTCCAGGGGCTGATGCTCTATCCACTGAGCCAAACTGGCCAGGGCTGCAAATACTTTTACCTAGCACATGAAAGAAAAAGCATATCCTACTGCATAGAAAAATCTCTCATGCTCCATAATTTATATTTATTTTTTTAATTTTAAGAGGTATTTTGTATATATTGTTCAACTAGCATTTGCTGACAATTGAGTGCAGTTTTAAAAATATTACTTGTCATGCACTATTTAATCCTCATGAGAGGGACTAATTCAGTGAAAAGAACCTGTGTGAGGAAGAGGCCTGCCATACACTCCGTTCTACAATATGTTTCACCTCCGCTGCTTGACAAGGAAATAAATCTTCATTTGCTTTAAAGATGGCGCCTGCACACCGCGGCCCAGCACTGACAGCCGCCATCTGGGCTTCTCCTCCCGCCAGGCTCTCTGGAAGGAGCTGTTTGCGATCTGAAGTACTGGATGTATTATGTTAATCCCTGAGGTGCTTCTGGAAAAAGATCCCTGCCTCTCTGCACCTACCCCGAGATCTGTATCTGGACTCTTGTGAGCTAACAACTTCAATTAAACCAGTTGTGCGGGCAGATTAAATCCTTCAATTATTCTCCAGAAAACGGAGTGAGTCAGGAACGGGTATTGGGCGGCGTTGAAGCAAACAGGAATGTGCCTGATTGCCAATGACTCGGTCTGTTTTCAACCCACACAAGAGGGCATCTTGCAGAGCTGCATGGAGACACACTTCCCTTTCCCAACAGGCCGGGGGCTGCCACACTGGAAACGGACATCACAGACGGCTTATCATCTAGACACCCACGAGATCCAAGGCTGGACGAGGGCCCCCTCCCCCGTGAGGCTCCGCACACTTCCAGCTGTGGCCCATCTGGGGAGCCTGGCTCAGCCACAGGCCCCCAGAGCATTCCCATCAGCCTGCCACCATTTGTTGGAAAGATGACCTTTTTCTCATTGAGTTGACTGATCTGTGTTAAAAATCAATTAACCATGTGTATTTTCTCTATGTATAACTAGATAAAGCATTTTCTAAAGGTGAATAAAATCTCAACCTCATTCTCAAAAAAAAAAAATCAACTGGCCATATATGTGGATCTATTTCATACTCAACGCTGTTCCATTACCTATACGACCAATCCTATGCCAGTATCGTACAGTCTTGATTCATGTAACTAGTAGTTATTTTTTTTATCAGGCAGGGTAAGTCCTCTAACTTAACTTTGGGGATTCTAGATCCTTTGGATTTCCATAAAATTTTAGGTGCCCACTTGTCATTATCAATCAACAAAAAGAAGCCTGCTGGAAATTTTATTGGGATTGTGCTGAAAATGGATTGATTGGGGGAGAATGGATATATTTTTTTAAATATATTACTATTAATTTCAGAGAGGAAGGGAGAGGGAGAGAAAGGCAGATGAGAGAGAATCATTGATTGGTTGCCTCCTGCACGTCCCACACCAGGGATTGAGCCCACAACCTGGGCATGTGCCCTGACTGGGAATTGAACCGTGACCTCCTGGTTCATAGGATGACACTCAACTACTGAGCCACGTTAGCCAGGAGAGAATGGTTATCGTAAACAATATTTTCTGATTCTTGATCATGGTAATCTCTTCATTTATTTTATTATTATTACCACCAATTTATTTATTTAGTCTTTATATCTTTTCAATGTTTTACATTTTATAGCTTTCCATAGGTCTTACACATTGTTTGTAAAATGTATCCCTAGATATTGTATATTTTATTTTATTATAAATGGCATTGTTTTGTTTCCATTTTAAATTGATTGTTGCTAATATCTAGAAATAACATTGTGTGTCACATGACTTTGCTATACTCACTTATTAATTCTAGATTTTTTGGGGGTGTATTCTTAAGATTTTCAATGGAGACAATTGTGAATTAAGAGTTTTACTTCTTTCTTTCCAATTTGGATCCCTTCTCATTTCTTTGTATCACCTTACTGTATTTGCTGGTAGTTTCAGCACGATGCTCCATAAAAGTGGTAGAATGGACACCTTGCCTTTTCCTGAACATAGGGAGCATGCCTCAGGTGTGCTAGTCCAGAACACAGGTGAGAACAGCACTGTCTACACAATTTCTACACAGGCTCAGGTAAGGCAAGATGAAGATGCCTCAAGGGACCTTTCTGAAGCTGTGTTTGCATAGCAAAGCTCTCAGTATATACAAGTACCAAAGTTTCCCGAAAATGTTTTACTTATACTTTATATGAGACTCAGGCAATGCCCATTGTCACTAACAGTGCATATTCTGCTTTTTGTTGCTATTACTATTATTGGGAGTATTGATGGAGATGCTGAGAGGTGCCAAAGCCACCTCTGACCACACTGGTGACTCTGAGGTCCCCGCTCGTGATGGGCTGGAATGACTAAGATGTAGCCCTGGACGGAGCTCCTTTCTCTACGGAACTAAGCGGTCCCTCTCCTCCTCAAATCTGCAACCCTAACAGCACAGTGCTGCGGCCCAGACACCCCAGATGGTAGCTTAATCGCCTGAAAGAATTAATAGTGCACCTCGAAGCACATTATTCACCCAGAGAGCAGTTCAGGCGAGGGAAGAATCTGGCCCATTATACCTCACACAATTGCTCAGTCACATGCAGTCACAGGAATGAAGCCTGGCATATGGTAATCTCCCGGCTAGATGGAGATTCATTGTAATAAGCGTGCTGTTCAGAGCCCTTCAGTGGGAATCCGGAAGGCCTACCTTTCTTTTCTGGAAGAAACATTACGACGAGACAAGCCAGTCCTCCCAGGCACAGAAATGCTGCTAACGTCCGCCTCCGACCAAACCTGGGTAACAGAAAGCAATGACCGGTTTCTCTTGAGGTCATGAACTGTTCGTCTGCTTCTTCCCCAGCCTTCCTGTTAAATGTCCTGTTTCATGGTACACGCTCATCTTTCCCTGTGACTGCCCAGGACATAGAAGAAGTAACCATCGTAAGACAAAGGGAAAGTTGCAGGGCGGCAGGACTGAATAATGTGCAAGGGGAAAAAACCATTCTGTCTATTTGTGTGTGTGCTATGTTCCAGGAACTGTTTTAAAGGCTTCCTACCTATGAACTTACTTAATCCTCATAATAAACCACAAGGCATGTACTGTTTGTTCCACTCCCCATCGCTCAGAGAATGGAGCTAAAACACAGAAAATATAGCCTATTTTGCTGCTCAATGTAGCTCATAGGAGTCCTGTAGCTCATTTCCATTTCTGGGTACTTGAATCTTAAGCAGTTAACATGTTAAACACTGTCCTTTCTCCCTCTTAAAAATACCAACAGAAAAGTTTTCTTGTTGGTGGGTCAGAATTAAGTGACATTTATTGCCCATGTATTGGGAGAAACAATTTTCAAATAAGAACTCTAGACTTGGAGAAAGATGTTCAGATAAGTAACCCCCTTTTCTAGGGGCTGCAGCTTGCGAGGTCCTCTGTCAGGAAATGCAATGTTACCTCTAATTTTCATGACACCTTCACCAGGGGGATGTTATAATCCCTCCTTTAAGGATGAGGACATGGGGGCTCAGGGAGGTAACCTGTCAAGGTCATAGGACTGACATAAGACTGATACACGGCTGAGCCTGGATTTGAACTCCGGCCTGCCTGACCCCAAAGCAGCAGCCCTTCTGTCTATCCCAGATTTCAATCCTGACCCTGGTGGTAGGAGCTGGGAGGCCGGGAAGGATGTGAGTCTCCGGGCACCTTGCGTAATTTAACAGTCAGCATCAAACGCCTTTCAAGCAACAGGTCCCACGCTAGGCAGGCACTGGGGATGCAAAGACACCTAGGATGCCCTCGTGGACAGCGTCCTGAGGACACTTTAAGTGGCTGTCAGAGGCGCGCACAGGAAGCCAGAGCAGCGCAAAGGAGGGTGCTGGCACGCTGGGACAGATCTCTATCTCTTAATACGCTGCCTAACCCGCTCTTAGACCACGATGAGCATAAGCTTCTTCACGAACAGAGTGGGCAGCGGAGAAAAGCCTTCAACTGAGCCGCACCCAGCGCCCCCCCACCCCCACCCCGCCCCATTCCCAATGTGCTGCGCCCACTCTCCCTGCACCAGCGCCAAGTGTAAGGCGAGAGGAGTGCTGCTTGGGAACGGGGGGGCCTGGGTTTCTCAAGAATGAGAAGTGGCACAGGCCAGCGGATTCCTAGCTCACACTAGCGGGACTGCTAGCTGCCCTGGCCAGGGGCTCCGTGACAGGAGGGATCCGAAAAAAAGAGAGGAAAGGGTGCTCTACAGAAGAACTTTAACAAGTATTCCGAACTGTGTCCACTAACAAGGAGCAGCAAAACAGGCTATATTCTTCCCCTCGACTAAGTCACGCGGGTCTTAGATTTAGCAAACACCTTTCAGTCCCTCCAGCTCTTTGTCCTGAACTAAACAGCGATGGGGCTGGTGGGGTTCTAGTTCCATCTGCACGGAGCCACCAGTCCCACTGCTGGGACGACCAAGTCACGCAGAGATGACTCCAAAGCCATCAGGATATGACGCCTTTCAACCCTGGACTGCAAGCCCACATAAACACTCATGAACACGAAAGCCTAGAGATACTGTACAAAACATGAATCCTGACTGTGTTCGTTCAGAAAAGAATTCTAATCACTGTGGTATAATTAACAGATACTGTATGTTGTCAAAGACAGTCATATTTAGGGACTTACACATGTGAGTGTGTGTGTGTGTGTGGGGGGGTACACTTCAATCTTCATCCATACTCACCACCTGTGGTTAATCAAGTAGATGCAGAGAGGGTAGGAGGGGATCTCTATGAGGCCAGACAGGGCCAGGTTGGCGTAGAGGTTCCCGCCCAGGTCACCGGCGCTCAGAGTCAGGCCGTAGTACACCAGGCTGCACACGAACCTGCAGGAGGAGGGAAGGGACAGAAGGGGGCGCTCATGAGAATCTGCCGGGGATCCCAATGCCGGTTCAGTAGACTGCGATCTGCCTCCAGCAATGGGTCCGACTCTCCCGCTAACATTGCCATCCTGATCTAAATTTCTGAACGAGGAGAAGACGAGGAATAAAGGGCCTTGGAAACCACTTGTCTAGATGCTGATCGAAAAAAAGGCGCAGCCTGCTGAGAGAGAAAAGACCTGGTTTGTGCCGCCACCAGCATTTCTGCACCAAATAGCAGACAGGGACTCCAGTCTTACTTTATTTAACACAAGTTATAGAACACTGGCTTTAGGCAATTGCTGTGAGATTATCAAAATGACTCTAGGAAAGAAGTCCCAGGGGAAAGCCGACAGAGAGTGGCGTTGAGGATGTGGGCTGAGAAGTGACTGGATCGCCAGTGTCACCTGGGGGCCAGAAAGGACTGCACTGCAACCCCCGCCAGGCCCTCAGCCCCACCCGGCACTCAGCAGGTGCACGTGCTGCAGACGCAGAACAGGAGAGAAACGGCCAGGGGATGGTGGAGGCAGATGACCCCCTGGGGAACGGCCCTTTGAAAAGGTGTCTTGCTGCCCCGGCCGGTTTGGCTCAGTGGATAGAGCGTCAGCCTGGGGACTGAAGGGTCCCAGGTTCGATTCCAGTCAAGGGCACATGCCTGGGTGGCAGGCTCGATCCCCAGTGTGGGGTGTGCAGGAGGCAGCAGATCAATGATTCTCTCAATTATCACTGATATTTCTATCTCTCTCTCCCTCTCCCTTCCTCTGAAATATGTATATATTTTAAAGTTGTTTTGCTGAAACACCTCTGAGGTGGCAGGCGCTGTCCCCGGCCCTGAGCCCACCTCCCCTTCCCAGGAACCCAGGAGCCAGGCGCTACGCCCAGGCACCACCGTGAAGCTGCAGGTCGGGCTTCCTCAACCACAGGGAAGGGAATCATGGCAACGTTTGTGTCTAGGAAACTGCATTCTTAAAGCAAAACAGAGCAGAACAAACATAACACCCCCTGAAACGAGGCTGCAGGACACGTGCACGCGTTCTGTAAACCATGCATTCCTCCGCACACAGTGACACACGGGGCTGTGGAAGGTCGCCAGGTGTTATGACGTCGCCATTCGCTCTGACAAGTGTTTATGACGGGGAAGTTCAGACGGGCTTCCTCTGGTTTTCCTTAGACAAAGTCTAATGAGCTGCGGCTCTGATGAGATCAAAGAGAAAGGGGAAGCTTTCTTCCCATCCCTGCCAACACTCGGAGCGGCCCAAGTGCCCAGGGCGACGAAGACTGGGCGAGAGTAACAAGGAGAAGGCGGGAAGAGGGGGAAGGAGGGAGGGGGAGGGAGGACCTGCAGCTGGACTGCTGGGTGCTCATGCCTCTCTGGCCAGTGAGCCCGGGCAACAGCTACTTCCGTGACTTCTTACTGGGCAGAGCTGTCACGCGTGTACTAAGGGCCACGAGCAGTGTGGTAGCCAGGACATCACAGGTAAGGACGCAAGGTGCCACCGAGCTGTCTGTTTCCCTTGTCCCCTCGCACTTCGCCCGAACAGAGGACACGAGCTAGGAGATGTGGACATGAAGGGAGCTTTCAGAGCCAAACCTGACTGCACAGCACAGGAGCTACTAACTCGGAGTCCTACCTGCTCTCAAGTCAATTTGGACCCATGCAGTTTTCTGAAATATTTTAAAATCCTTTCTACCTGCCGTAGAGACCCTGCCCTTCCACGATGCTGCTCCTAATGTGCTGTCGGTGCTCGTGCGTGTCTGCTCTGCATGGAAACAGAAATCCCCGGGAAGGACTCCCAGCCAGGGAAGCACACGCCCATCTAAACCAAGCTGCGATGGTAGCAACCAGGGCGCGAGTGAGCAGAGCCAGCTCAGGACACGGGAGGAATTTAGTTACCAGCTGGGGGTGACAGAGAGGGGAGGACGTGGGCAAGGAAGGCCTCGGCCCCAAGGCAGACTCGCTTGCTTGTTTCCTTGATGGCAGAGCCGGTCACTGGGATGAGTGACGAGTGTTTAAAATCATCGCAATCCTCGTTATGGGCCCCGAACAAAATTTAGAATGCTTGCACAATCGTTAACAGTATATTCAGGGCGCCAAGCAACCATTCAAAAAGGCACCACTGAGGGAGGTAAGCACAGAAACAGATGCTAACACAGGGAGTAATCACAGGGGGCGGTCTTTAATGGCGGGGACCACAGGAAGGATCCAGAGCTTTCTAGCACCTTCCGGGAGAACCAGTGTGTGCCAGGACACGTCTCTGTTATTGTGGATTTTACAATTCTGAGCCCGGGGGAGAGAATTTCATTTGCGAACAGTCCCTTTGGTTGTGTAAGACATGATATAAGCAGGGACCTGCTCCCCGGGCTCTAAGTCCAGTCTGTTGGTTTTTTCACCTGTTTATGCTTTATCCCCTGAAGGCCAGAACCCCAAAGTTAATATGCCTGGAAAAAATAAAACATTAAAAACAAGATGTAAGTACTCCCCAAAAAGTAGGGGCTCCTTCGAGGCGGAGGGCTGGCCTGTCCATGGGACACACACAGGGAGAGTGTGTGAAGCCCAAGGCACCTGCCTGTGCTTTGTGAGTATTTACAACAAGGAGCATCTCAAACTAGCAGCTGCGTTGTCAGGCTGCACTGTTGATGGTTCCCGTCATCTCCACGCCTCCGCACTCATGTCCTTCGTGCAACGTGCCAAGCGTCTGTGCCACGCCACCGGCACCGGGAGGGAGGGGCGGTCGGTGTGACGGGCCCTGACCACACAGGCGGCGGCCAGTGCTAGGTGAGCCAGTAAAGAGAATCCTGATGTAGAAAAACATCGCCACAGCTTCTTATTCCCGATCCTCCCGTTCCCCTTTAGCTTTGGACCCACGATCGCGTTCCTATAAAATGATTCTTCTTTATCCCCATGATTGCAGCCTTCATGGTCAACACGTACAGACCACAGCACACAGTCCTCTGGGCCCGTAAACCTGATGTTGACACCCAGCGCTGGACCAGATAACACCTATGGCACCAGCAGAATGCACACCATTACACACGCCACACGCCACACGCACTGCCCATCCGCTCCTCCCCTCGCCACAACTTCTTTAAACGGAGCCGCCCTGAACCTTCACTGCCATGTACACTGATGCTGAGAGCACGCTGAGAGGTGGGCTGGAATAGACCAAACTTGAAGATCAGCTTCAAAGAGGCCGACCCCTTCATTCACTGATCTGCATGGGGGGTGCTGAGTCCCTCACTCCACACTCCCAGGGTCCCACTGGTCCAGCGAATAGTGACAGGCCACCCGTGAGCAAGTGGCGATGCCACACAGGGTGCAGCCCAACCACAGTGTGCCATCCCACCGCTCGATGCCAAAACCAAAGCCTATTTAGAAACACTTCGGTTTCTGCTATGCTTGCTTGCTTTCCTTCTTTAAAAAATTGATTTCAGAGAGAGGAAGGGAGAGAAGAGAGAGAAACATTGGTTGGCTGCCTCCTGCACGTGCCCTGACTAGGGATCGGACCTGCAGCCAAGGTATGTGCCCTGACTGGGGATCAAACCGCCACCTTTTGGTGTATAGGATGGTGCTCCAACCAACAGAGCCACACTGAGCGGGCCCGGTGTTTTGTTTTGTTCGTTTTTTGGGAGGGCGACCAATATTGGCATCAAATGTCTCAGGAGCAAAGATGTGCTTCTGACATCAAGGTCGGTAAACCTGCCTTCAGGCACCATCCTTTCCTCCTTGAGGGGGAGGGTGTGAAACAGAGGCCAAGGCCAGGCATTCGGGGAGGGGGCCTTGTGTCTGTGAAAGTAACTTTGTGCTGGCAAAAGAGGTAAAACGTATGTCACCCTGAAGGACCAGATTCCCAACAGACCCTTTGCAGCGGGAGCTGGAGATCAACCCCACCCCCCCCAC